GTCCTCTGGGGGGGCAACACAATGTTAAAAACTGAATATATAAAGAATTACCTTTACATGCAAGACTTGTATGTCCAAGACTCATATAATCTGGGTCTCATCTCATTAAGAAAGTACAGCAGATGAGATCACCCATGGTGCCTGAACAGGCGGAGTAGAGTTGGAGCAAAAAAATCAAGGGATCCTTTGTTAACCCTATTCAAGGACTGGACATGGTGAAGTTCAGAACATGCAAGAATATCTTCTATTTATGCAGACCTATTGGGAAGAGGGCTGATGTGGGAGAAGATAACAACTTCTCGGTGTAGATAAGATAGCTGCCACACGATCTTAGAAGAAGGACACAGATGTGGTACGTTAGGTTTGTGGGCCTGACTGGAATGGGAGTAACCTAAACTGTGCTTACAAAACAGAGGCAGCATAAGCAAACCAATATTTTTGTATGCAGCCCTGCCACTTGTGTTGCTGTGCATCCCTGGGCTGTTTGCATGGGTCCCAAGCACCATCAGACCAGGATCAAGCACGTGGCCCACAGAAGGTGTGTCCAGCACAGCTCCTGTTCTCCCTGCTTTGCTTCTCTGGAAGAACAGAATATGCTCTTTGAATAACTCAGAAAGCCTAAGAAGCAAATACACAGCATGCATGTAGCAGCACTGGGTCATATCTAGTAGACCCTTGTGTAGTCATACTGAGAAAGAGGACATCCTAAATGCCCTATGGAAACTGTAAAATAGCTGAGAGTACTGGAAAACTGGCATGTGAAGATGAGTGTCTCATGTCTATTTACCTGTCAAATAACTTTATTTTAAGGACATCTACTTGGTTAGACTAGTTAGACAACAGCTGTCACAGCCATGGAAAGTCAACCCCTGCTGAGGGGGAAACTGCAAAGAAACAAGGTAATGGACTTCAGTACCTTGTTGGTGCAGAGAATGCTAGACTCCTTACAAAATGACCAGCAAGGAATATAGGTAATAGTACAGGGAACTGAAGGGTCAAAATCTGAGAATATTATGTTCAGTTACAGAGATTCCCCTAAAAGAGAGTAAGATTCATAAGTCAGAATACTTGAGCCATTATATAGATGGATTCATAGTGGGTAGGAAGCTTGGAGGACTAGACTATGAAGTGTGTCCTCTCTGACATTCATTTTAGTTTTGAACTGAAGTTGCAGCAACGACTAGTCTAGCTATCACAATTGCCACATCTATAAAACTGCTTCCCCACTGGCAATTAAATTTTGCTTAGGTCAGCAAATAATGAGACTCATAAAACAATGTTGTAGCTCTAAACAGAGTCTCCAATGCTTGCTCTCAAGACAAAGTAAAATACAGTTGTGTTCTACTTTATTACCACATGACATTTAATATTGACATTAAATTAAAGCCGAGATAGCACATTATTTTGAATTTGCTGAGCAGTTTAAATTGTTCAAGTCTAATATCTGGTTCAGTTAGTACTGACAGGTCTCAATCAGCAAATGAGCATGTCCGTCTTACTGTATTAGGGCCTGTACACAACAAAAAATGGTCCCTGCCCTAAATAACTTCAGGATGCAACATGCATTTTTTGTGATTAACATTTTTATCTCCTCATGCAAAGATTAACTTAAATTACATGGGGCATAAAAAAGGTGGGGAACTGAAGGAAGCATATGGTAAAATATTTATTTTCCAAACATAAACCACCCATGTAATGATATCACGAGTCTCTGCCCTTGTGACTCCTCACTAATGGATCTTGGGTCCTTACAATTTGAAGAATTACATTAAAATGTCAGCCCCAAGACCTGCTGAAGGATTCTTCCAAGGAACTAAACTGGTACTTGTGCTGAAGTGCTGAGTGAACTTTAATTTTCCCTTTAACAAATGGACACATTCATAACTACACAACGTATGTACCAAACCCAATCATTCAGGATCCTCTCTCTCAAGCTCCACCTTATGTTTTCCTTAACATTCAATATTTGAGTTACCTTTCTAGGCTTTAGTTGGTAACTGAAATGCTACTGTCAATGTTTTAGCGCAGAGGTGGTCAACCTCTGGCCTGCAAGCCAAATGTGGCCTGTGGAGCCTTGGCATCTGGCCTGCAGGGCTCCCCAAGGGTGAGGAAATTTGGTGGTAGGGGAACAGTGGCAGTTAATACTGCCACCCCTCCCCTGCTGCCAAATTCCCAAGTTCTGTGCAGCAGATTGGACATGGGGTGCATCCTCTCCACCCACATGGTTACACCAGGGCCAGGCCATGCCCTGTTCTTGCACAGCTGAATCAGGGACAAAACACATCCTTTCCCTGCCATGGCCTGATTGGGGCTGGGCCAAGCCCCTTCCCCCATAGACTCGGGCCATGCCCCCTCCACTCCCATGGGGGGCCAGGTTGGGCCAGACTGATCCCTCTTCCCCCTCTGTGCTGCCAGATGGGCCCTGCAATATCTGCCCCAGGTGCCGGATCAGAACCACCACTGGGCCACGGAGAGACTGGGCACCATCCATCTGGCACACCAGGTAAAAAGGTTGGGCACCACTGTTTTAGCACAAGTCTCTCCAATCTTGGATGTTCCTATAGTTCCCTTCCTGACAGACCTGTCTAGACTTCGCTCTTTTCTTAAAGGTCATGCCTACTGAATAACTTATAGGAGGAGGAAAAGCATAAGTCAAGGACTTTATGCAGCATTCTACTATTTATTAACAGGGTGTCACAACCCAAAGTTGTGGTTTTTTGTTTGTGCGCGCTTCGGCACCACTAAATTATGTTCCCGCCAAATTGCAGCTTTTTTGCAAGGTAGAGTTTTCTGCTGCAAAAGGAGAAACCGCGTGCAAAAGAGTATTTCCCGCCGTTTGTAGCCTTCTTTGCATGGTGCATTTCTTTTGCATCATAGTGATGCACGGTGCAAAGGAGTTCCCGCCATTTGTATTTAGATTCGTGCCACATTATTGGCCGGTTCTAAATGTAGGCATACGTGGCGGCTAGCTATTGGATTGCTAGCCATACAAAAGGCTTGGGTAGTTTCCGCCCAAGTCGGAGAGAGAGGAAAGCTGGAGAGATACAGAACTCGCCAGGAGGAGGAGACTTCACGCTGTGTGAAGATCTCCAAGCGATGTGGACCCTTGCGGACCCAACGCGCCTTTCTTAAGCAGGCAACGGAGGTCCGTTTAGCTTCTAGCCTCTCCCCGTCACCGAGCGCAATCCTAGACGTATCCCTATCCTATATACCCAATTTTTGAACCCACGGAGTCTTAACAGCTCCGGGGGACCTGGGAACTGAAGAGAACCCACAGAGATTCAGCCACTCCGTGAGGAAAGAATTGCCGAACCCGCAGAGCCTAAACCACTCCGGGGTCAAAGAACCGAGTTTGTCAGAGTCCTCCAACAAGGATTCAAGCGGAGCTGCGCCTGGAAAGCTGTCCAGCCTACACCGTGACCACCTTGGGTGTAAGTAAATAATCTTTTCAATCAACCATTACACCTCCGTAACTGATTCTAGCTCACGCGTACCTTACCGCCCCGCGGTTTTCTTTGGCCCCGCGTGCCCGGGCTGCTGGTCACAGTCCGCGTGCGCAAAGATGGGCCTGGCTTGCACATGGCGAGGATGGGATCGGGAGCCGGCCCGCACACAGGGTAGAAGCAACAAATTGTTTTAAATCTATACGTACAGCTGTTGATATATTTTATTACAACAGGTATCAATAGGTGCAATATCAGGACTTCCAATTCATTAGGAGCATTAGAAACCACAAAACATATGTATTGCTAAATACAGGCAGTAGGCACTTAAAAGTCTTACCCACTGACCCTGAAAAGGCAGAGATCAAAGCTGAAAGGTTTAAAGGGAAACTGCATAGGCAGAGGAGACAAAGAATAGAGATGTCCCACAGAAGGAAGATGTAGAAAGTGTTTTAATAGAACAAAGCAAAAGACAGATAGCAAGAGTTATGAACATGGGTACTGGGTAGTTTCCTCTGTACGAGATTTTGCTCAAATCCCAAATTAGGTATTCAAGAGACTAAATAGCTCCCTTAGCAAAACATATTTAAAACTATTTCACGCTAGGGTTTCACAATGTGCAAATTGATCATTTGCAGATTCCAACTTCTACAAGCATTTCCTCTCTGTGTTTAAAAAGAAATGTACTGAAAGAATTTTAGAAGACTATTTAAAGGAGACAAACATCAGAAACATATGAAACTTTTCAGGGAAGGGAAGGATGTAGACAACTCAAAACAGACATTCTTCTGCAAAAATAAAGCAAAATTTAGTCCGGTCTTGAAAAATTTACAAAAAATATTTTTCAGTTGTGGGATAATGCAAAAGGAACAGGTTCCAACTACCAAAAATAATCACTACCAACACCAATATTATCCACGTGGACTATTCTTGTAAAATGTAAGTCTGCAGAGATCCAAGACCGTTAATGCATCAAACCTCAAAGGGATAATTCTAGATTATATTTAGAGGCATGTTTCTTTCAACCATGTGCACCTTGTTAGGGCAGTACAACAGTCAGGTACATTTATTGGCTTGGACCATCAGAAGAGAACTAGGCTGTCACCAAAAAGGGGTGTGTAGAACACAATTTTTGCACCATCTCCTATAGGCTCTTTTGAAAACCCCAGCTTAAAACAACCAGTGAGAGACAACTATAAACATTCGCTACTCCCCTATGCTTTATAAAAGTCACAGCTCTTCTTGTATTCAAGAACGTTGTCTCCCATAAACTTCACAACAAGTGACAGCTCTAAAATCCACCAAAAAGGAAGGAGATAAAAGTTACTTGGTAGACAGGCGCTCCCTTTGGAGTACAGCTCTAAATGCATTCATTTCACTGTATTATATACATATGCACATCTTCAAAGAACAGAGGGACAAGTGCTTTCAATCAGTATTGTGCGTATGCGTAACAATAGAAAAAACATGAAGATTTAGGAAGAGAGAGGTGAATGAACAATAGAAAAAACATGAAGATTTAGGAAGTGAGAGGTGAATGAATTCTGTTCTACTTACCTTGATGGGTCATAGTGACGGGCTCTTCACTGGACACGTTGTTGTAAATGACCACCGCTGTGGCATTGTGTGAAGCTGCTCGCAATATTTTCTCTCTAAAAGTACAATTTCCTCGTTGCAGCAAGGCAATCCACTGCTTGGTGTTTGGTGGAACATTGAAACGAGTTCGTGGATCACAGCCCAAACGATCTGCAACTAAGGGAAAAACATTTATGTATTTACAGGTACATTCAGACAGGCACAAGTCAAACAGTAAAGCAGAAAACAAACAGTTGTCACAGAACCCAGTTGGCTTAAGCAAGAAAGCTTAGACTGTCCTGTTACTGAAGACTAAAACTATGCGCATATTTATAGGAGAGGTCCTCCTTGGAAATATTTTTAACACACCTCACACCCATAGGAAGCTGTGAATATACCTGAGAATTTGGCTCACTGACCAACTGTTAGATACTCATAACACTTGGGCAGTCAGTATAATGAATTTATATTTAAATCAATACCGGTATGTGAGGGAAAAACATTAGAATATAGTTCAGATGCTGATAAACTGCTGTTTGTTAAATGCTTACATTCGCTATGGGCACCATCACATTTTTTCTTTCCAATCATTCCAGTGTAAAGTGTGGCCAGACAGAGGAAAAAAAATAGGATTTTTGGACAGGCTGTGTCATGCACACACTAGTCTTGGTAACTGGTGACTTGTTCTTGGGCTTGCAAAACTTCAGCTGCCCCTGTCAAATACATACATGTGCCCCACTGAAGCCCATTTAAATTAATTTAAAAAGTCACTGAGAAAGACATGCTGCAACCAAGTTACTGTACCAGTATGAAAGGATTCTGCTATTACAGTGCTTATATTACAGAAACCGCAAATCCCAATTACACCTTTAATTTCAACACCCACAGCAGATTTTTCCTGTTGTGCTCTTTCCAATCTTACTATGAAAACAGGAGTGTCATGCAATTTCTCCTGAGATGCACTAACAAGATTAACTGACCCACTATATAAAAAGGATAAAAAGCAAGGTAATAATATACAGCTTGCCGTAAAACAGCCGACACCCATGAAAAGTAATTCTGTTCACAACAGGAAACTCAGGCAGGAATATTCAAGACTGAACCTAGAGAATTCAACACAGCAGAAGCAACAGTAACTTGCAAGACAGCAAAGCAATCGCGGATTTAGGGATCAGTTATCCCTTCCACCTGCCAAAAAATGCAAATATGATTGGCTACCAATGTCAAGTTAGGACCACGAATTTACTAAAATATATATAGTACAGCTGAAAACTTCTATTTCCTATATTTCTATGACACAGATAGGCTGGTGTTTGCTGGAATATACCAAACGTTCTCTGTTTTCACAACTGAGAGAAGACATGGGGCAGTTATGTTCATTCACAAGACATCCAATTATAAGCAATGTCTTGAATCGAGTTAATTACAGCATTGCCATTTAAGGTCAAACAATACTATGGATTTGATGTGGCATCCTTAAGATGTGCATTTCCACCCCAGAGACCTGCTACATATCAGAAGCTGCAGAATGACTGCACATTTTCTAACTGTGGACAACAAGGACTTCTAAGCAGGGCTCATTTTGTACTTCAGCAATACAAAAGCCCCCCAAATAAGAATCTAAATACACAGTGATAGCAGCCCGTGTAGTGGACAATTAACTACTGCAAAAAGCTGGTGTAGTATTTCTTGCTAGAAGCTTGGAAGAAAACTTGATGTAATTTACAGATTCAGTGAGGCTGGCTTATATTCATCTGATCAGTAGTTACAAATCTGACAAAATTCTGAGCATGACAAAAGGAAAGTCATCCACATCAGGTCCAGGTGAGCTGGTATGGAGAGTGGACAAATTTGGGAAATAGCAAAGCTGCTCAACAATTCATGCTAGGCAGGTTGCAGCCAAATACACTATCAAAGAGAACCTGAAGGACTAGAAAGACTCTTTTAATAGACAGGCTGATGAGAAGCTTTATTTGATTAAAAGAACGTTTTAGACATTCATCAGACCTCTGCAGCAATCAAATCTGTTAGGCAACAAACTTCCAAGACAATATTACCTAGAAAATGCCTTAGAAAATAGTGAATACAATTATTCTAGCTTGAGAGTGTGCTAAATCTTTGTAACTCATTTGTCTCTAAATCATGAGCACAGGTGCATAACAAATTCTGATAAGCTTTTATTGACAACTACATGGCATTCAGGGACATGAACAGAATGCCACAATTTCTTTCAACTCTTATTTTTTGTTTTATTAGATTTAAAAAAAATATATACTCAGAGGACAAACTCTTACAGTTAGTCACTCCCTTTTCTTACTGAATTCACCAAATTGGGCAAGATAAAATATCTACTGTACACCTAAAGTGCCAGACATATCAATCTCTGTTGTAAGGAAGGTAGATAACCAAACTAAGTCAGCAAGTATAATTGTCAATAGTTGTCCATTATCATCCGTCATCTATACTCAGTTGTTCAAAATGCATTTGGGATGTACAATCTTTTTCACAAGCTTAGAACTTGAATAGATCAGCTGGATGGTCTCCATGACATAATGAAAAGCAATTTAGAGTAATTTTAAATACGAATACAAATCACATATATGAAAAGATCTTATCAGAAGTAATTTGTCATTTCATAATTGTGGAAAATATCAATAGAGAGCAATATTTTTAGTTTTTTCATGATAAACGAAGTACCATATGAGCTAACTCAGAATAGCAGTTACTTGTCAAGTCTTCCTTGCCCATATCTGCTGCTGTACCAAAACCAACCTGGGCACAATATGAGCATCCTGACAGATTAGGGCAAAAATCAAATCTGCAGCCTACCATCCTCTAATGTCTACTCAGCCCCACTCAGAAGTCCTTGTGGTCTTATTTAGCAATAAGCCACCCAAACATCTGCACTTCTGCTTTAATTTAGTTGCAGAAGTTCATTTCATACAAGTCTCTCAATTAAACTGAGGAGCCACGTACAACATTGCATTACACTTCTCTGTCAAATTACTTTGAACTGCAGTTTCCCCGCTTTCAAACCTTATCAGAATTACAGGAAGTTTAAATATATACCAATGAACCCAACTATATGCAATTTCACCTTTTAGTTACAGGCTTTATTACAGAAGGCAGACAGAACCCACAGCAGAGACTGTTTCTACTAGGCATCATTCACATGACAAGCTGTACTAGTCCAACAACATGAGACCAATAATTTACTATTTTCTTCTTGTACCGTATTATTTCTACTTCCTATAAAAGTGAATATTGCAATGCTATTTTGTCACTTTCTTTGGACATGTATTTGCTATTGAAGCTGCTCTAACTTAATGGCACCACTCAGAAGTATTCAACTGGAATGTCTACGAAGCAAAGCACATTATTCCCTGGACACTTGCTTAGGACCCTCCCCCTTTCCAATAAATAAACAAACAAATCATGCCCCTTCCTATAAAGATAAGGAGTTTCCACAACCACAATCTGTACAAAAAGCACAATGGCTCATCTTCTCTTTTCCACCCAAAAGCAACTTACAGTTTTGATTTCTTCTACCGGTAGAAGAAAAATCCAGATTTGGAGACTTAAAGACCTCTTTCCTACCTCTTCTGAAAGCTCTAAACTAGGGGTGCTCAAATTCCAGCCAGCAGGCCAGATCCTGCCTGTGATGCCGTGTCATCTGGCGTGCAGAGCTCCCCATGGGTCTGGAAATTTGGCAGTGGGGGAACGGTACCACCACTCCAGCTGCCAAATCTTTGGACTGATTGGGAGCCTCAGGCCCCGCGTGCTGGACAAGGTACCCAAACCCAGCATATAAAGCCAGGTGGGGGCAGTGCCAGGCCCCCTGGCCTTACAAACCCAGTGCATGAAGGCTAGGAGGGGGCAGTACCAAGCCCCCAGGACTCAATCCTGGGGCACTGGGTGCAGGAGAGGCATTGCCAGGCCCCAGGACCTAATCTGGCCTGCTGACAGGACCCTGCTCTACCATCCCAACCTCCCTTCTCATATAAGAACAATGTATCCACCTTTAATTTGTCCATATGAATTCACACATGTGTAAAAGATGATGTTAAGAATGCAAAATAAATCCCTCCTCTAAAAGCTACACTCCACCTATACCAACAAGGCTACAACAAACACCCCTGAAGCAGTCCACCTATATGCACACGTCCTTCACATTTAGGAAGCTTCAATACAATCGGGTTTAGAAGGTCTTAACAGGCATATCAAACTCCTGAAAGTCAAGGGAAAAGTGGAAAGTAGCATGCTTTCTATAGAAGTTCTGATGACAGTATTATCTTTTTTAAAAGTTGCAAGGGAAATTATCCGTTGATAAAGATATTTCCCCATCTTCTCTATGGAGAGCCTTCAATTTCTTTAAAATTAAATTCAATTGAAATGCATGTGCAGGAAGTAGAAAAACAGTAAGTTGTTCTTCCTAGAAACCATTAAGATCACTTCATTACTTAGTAGCCAACTAAGTACTAAGCTCAAAGTGTGAGCTCAAAGATTACATGGGCTTATTTTTTGGTTAGTTTAAAAACTAATTTTTACCAATATAAAAATGTTCATAGGTTAATGACCACAGCATGTCCCTACAGCAGTAACAGTACTTTCAAAACTCTAAAAATAAAATATAGATGTTCCCTTAATTATGTCCTCTGAAATGTCTTTTAAAAGATAAATAAAGTAGTAAGAAGGTATTTGAAACAGCAGTCATCATAACCATTACAAATATCTTTGTAGAGATCAAATATTTTGGAAAACTACATCTTTTGAAGACTTTCCGCTATTAAAGTTTCGGTTTTGCTCAGCTAAAGTGACAATAAGTTCTTAAAATGTTTTCTGCTAGAAGATACTATAATTACAACATTACACACAAACTGTTAAGAGAACATTGTCATTGCTAAATCAAGCACCACTCAAAATAAAGTGCCAGAATTAAGGCAACCTGTGCATCCCTCTATGAATATTATGATGCAGTCTAGTTACATGATTATACACTATTTTTTCCACAGGAGTCCACTTCGTACAAGGCACATGATGGACTAACTGAACTAAAGGTGGTATATAAAGTACTCATCTATAGGACGCTTGCTGCCTTAATTACAGAGAATGGAAGACACAGTGAATGAGACAGGACTATGGAAAGAAAAAATGATGTTCTGATAGTTAAG